AGAGGGAAGCCCCGGGGGTCTGCAGCTGCTCCCCGCAAACTCTCGGGTGTTGGGACTCGGCCGAGAGCGGAGCCCGGTGCCAGCACACGGCCGGGCTGCCCCTGAGCCCATCGTCGCCCATCTTGGGGTGGCTACAGCCCGGCTCAGCTCCTTGCCCAGCTTCACCCCCGTAGCCAGGGCCACGGGAAAGATTTGGGGCAGGGGAGCGCTCGGCGCTGAGGTTGGGACCCCACTCACGACCAGCTCTCGCTGCTGTCAGGTTTGATGGGAAACGCAGGCAGGAAAACCACGGTAGCTATGACAGCTGGGAATCACGGTGACCTGGGAATCACGGCAAATCCTTGGGAACCACGGCAAATCCTTGGAAATCACAGCAAATCCAGCAAATCCCATCGCCTCTGCTGAAAACCCTCCCAAGGGCAACCCTCCCAGGGCCGAGAGAAATCCCTCAAAGAAAGGCCAGATGCTAAAAGGTTCTTAAATATTTAGTTCAGTTTTATTTAAAGTCAAGTCAGTTTGTAGACACTATTTATATTATTAAAAACACTTGGAGGTTTGTACTTCTAGCAAAAATATACATTTCAGTTTGAGGGATGTTACACTGCCGAGGAAGGAAAAGCAAAAAGTTCCCCAGGTGATGAGCACACGAGTCCCGCGTGCCGGCCACGGCGGGGGATGCCACCGGGGGATTCAGGAAGGACAAATCCGCCGGGCTCCATCCAGCACACGCTGGTGCCTTCTCCAAGAGGGCTTCAAAGTGCTTAAGAACTGGTAATTCCTAACAGCCCTGCGAGGTAGGGAGGGGAAGGGGCTGGGCAGGCAGAGGGCAGGGAAACTGAGGCATGGCAAGGAGCCGGAGGGCGGCAGCAGGGGCAGGTTTGGGACCGGCCAGCCCTGTGGCACGGAGGGGAAGCCCAGCGCTCTTCCCCTTTGGGTTTTAAAGGAATTATTGCACCAGGGAAATCTGCAACCCTGAAGAGGAGGAAAATAAAATAAAACCCGACTAATTTGCTCCCGCAGCCCCTCCTTGGGAAGAGCAGTGTTTTAGTAAGGCTGCTCGGGACACGCAGGACCACAAGCTGCAGGCGGGTAAGCGCCACTCCTTAGGTCAGCCACCATCATCCCGACAGGGGACCGAGCCCTTCCCGGGTCCCTCCTCTCTCCCAGAGCCCGGGTGACGCAGCCCCTCGTGCAGGGGTCCCGTCCCAGGCACAGGCAGCACCGTGGCATTTCACTACAGCTGCGAGAAGTTGCGAGGTAAAGTCCCAGAAGAGCTCTGGGTTTAGGCAGACCCCGAAGCCTGGAGCTGTCCCCGCACTCGGGATGGCGGCAGAGGAGGGCAGGGCAGCGTCCCCGACCCGGCCGCGCTCACCAGGAAGCTCCCGCTCATTGTGAGCATCCCACCCTCTCCCTCCCCTTTTACAATACTTGACATTTATACTGTGTTTTACAGCTGCAAAGCTCTTTGCAACCAATCCTCGTGCTCCCCTCCGCGCAGAGAGCGGGTGACAATCCGGCTCCCTTTCACAGAGGGGCAAATGAG